CAAGAGAAAGATGGCCTTTCTCGACCATGCAGGGGGCTGATGAATTGGCACCGCCTGACTGCTGCTACTGCTACTTCAGGAGACAAGGATCAGGATGACAATGACATGGCCTTCAATTTTGACAGGCTTTCGAAGTGTCTCAAGTATGCACAGGACTGCATCTCATCTTGTGGAGACTTTTGCCCTCCCCTCACAACTTCCGAGCCCTCCAATGCAGAAAAGTCCATCACTGCAGTGGTCCAGATGCTTCGCAGAATGGAGAAGGTTTGTGTCTCTTACGCACTGCAGGGATTGGCTAGTGGCAAATTCCAGGGCAAGAACTACAACTACAAGGCTGTTCTCCCCGAGATGTTCCACCCAATTGCCCATGTGATGGAAACCAACTGGGCTGACGAAAAGGACAAGCTTGCCCATGCAAAGCTGGAGACCCTGATTGAAAAGCTTTCGACCTGCGAGTCAGCGCTTTCTTTTGGTACCTCTTCCTCGAAGATTGACCTCGGATCCACATTTGAGACCAAGATCCAGGAGTGCCATGATTTTGCTAGCCATTTCGCCAAGGCCTTGCAGGGATCTCTCAACGAGGAACAGTCAACATATTTGACACCGTTGTCTAGCTTCACTGAGAAGTACCAGATGGTGTCTTCCTGTGTCAGTGACTGGACCTTGAAAGAGATCGAGTGGGTCTTCTGCAAGGAGAATGAGAAGGAAGTGGGTTCCGATTTTGATACCTTGAAGGAATCCAGGAAACAGGCATTGGACTTTGTCACCTGTCTGAAGCCAATGATGGAATTTCAGTCTCAGTCGGAGGTGCTTAAGCCCATTGTGGCAGCCAGCCACAAGGCCAAAGATGCTGTTGAAGAGGCCGTGGATGCTGCTTCCAGGCTTGGCACTGTGATGATGTTTGCTGATGCTGTTGTCGATGGCGCAGAAGCAGCTAAGCCAGGCTTTGTAGACAAAACGGAAAAGTACACACAGAAGCACTTTGGCATGGGCAAAGACATCTTGCCAGACAAACTCAAAGAGATGGTCAACGCAGCAGTACTTGAGGCTAGCAAGAAGGAGAAGGAGAAGGGCAATGTGAAGGCTGCGAAGGACAAAAAGGAGAAGTCTGAGAAGTCAGAAAAGGGTAAGAGTAAGAGTAGTCACAAAGATGGCAAAGAAAAGCGAAAGTCTTCCAGAGCTGAGGACAATAGTTCCCGAAAGAAGGCCAAGAAATAGATTGGCTTGAGAGAGGCTTTTTGTAGGCTGCCAGCTGTAGATGAAGCTGGTGGACAATGATCATGCACGGTAGCCCTTGCCAGAGCTCCCACGTACACCAAGAAAGTATGTCAAAACGGTTGTTGTAGAGAAAACAGTTGGTTCATTGTTTGTGGTGGCCAGCTACCGGACCGTTTGCGGCTCATGTCTTGCAACACAAGACTGGCTAATTGTTGGGGCACTCAATTTGCCGAAGGATACACGGAGTCAAGACTGCTGTGAAAAAGGCACCATTGGGAGTAAGGTTTTTGCTGTGATGTTCTTGTGCTTTCTCCCCTGCAAATGCCGTTCATTCAGGTGATATTTGCTGGACAAGGATTTGATCCAGATGAATTCTCATTTGAGAACATCGACTACCGAACGCTGGTAAAGTTGGCTGGACACTTGGGCTTCATTGAGACAAATTGGAGCAGTAGGGGGTAGTTTTATAATTGTTGTCATTTACTTTTGACCAGAGTTTCAGAGGTTGGAGACACTGACAATATTCACAAACAGTAACAATCTCTCATTCATCCTCATCCAATTTCTGTGCTGTTTATCCTGTTCAATGATAGGGGCACAGTCCAGTGCCTGTGCGGAAGTGGAAAGCATTGGTTACAAACTGCAAGCAGTCGCACTTTTATTTGAGGAAACGCTATGTCTACATCTGTGGTGGGGAGCGTTATCACTGGACTTCTTGTGTACTTTCTTTCATCCTCAAAGGACGGGAGGTCACTTGGCAACGTGTCACGAAAAGGTTGCTACATAGAGTGGCGGGCACTGCGGTTATGTCACATGAGTCGACCACCAGTCATTGTTTCAAAAACACAACCTCTCCTACCTATTGCCTGGCTGAGGCCAATGAGTGGGATTTCTGCTAGTGACTCTGACAGCGACGTCAATCCGATGCCCAGACTTCATCAATCTCAAGCTTCATCTGAGGAGATAGAGTCTCCAGATGGCAGTTCCGAGTCCGAGACATTGATTTTGGGACAAGTCCGGCGCCGGTGATGTTTAATTCAGGGATTTGGAGAACAAACCTGCCACATAGCAGCGATAGGCTTTGGAATTCCAATCCATGGTGGCGCTATGTGGTGCTTGTCCAAATGTCCCACGTTCGCTCTCTTACTCTCCGGCTGCAGCGAAGTTTTTGTTGGGCAGCGTCGAACCAAGTTTGATGCTTACAAACAGAGTGATGCAAACTGCAAACCGTAAACGACATATGATGGCATACATCATACATACACATACCAAAAAGAACGGAATTGTGTGTGTGTACTACCGAACATAATCTAGTCTAGATGTATATATATATATATATTGTTTTTTGGAATAGTTTTCTACAGAGACCTTCAGAACATTCCTTGTGGTTACTTGCTGCCCTCAGAACAAATGGTTTGCCAGACCAGTCACCATTTTACCATGATATGATATGAAACCGGAGCAGTGAACCATTTGGACTACGAGCCCTGGTTGCGCTAGGGCCCGTGATTTTGGAGCGTTGTGCTAGCCAAGGTAAAAGAGAGAAATGAGGGAGGGAGGGTGTACAAGCTGTGAATGCTTGAAGTGAAGCACGGACAACTGCTGCAGTGCATTCAAACCCGTATAATTACATATATACGGATGACGTATCATTATATACCTGTCAGTGTGTGGCACTGTGACGATTTTGCCTCAAATGCACCACTTTCCTAAGAGTGCGGCCCCTGTGTGAATGGCTGTGTGATCCGACCTGACCGAGCTGGCTTGGCTACCATGAACTGGCTTTTGATGTGGATGTGGTGGGGCTCACTTTGTTCAAGCCTCCCAACCTGTTTTGTTTCTGTGCAAGCTGTGTTGGTGGAGGCAAAGCCTACCAGCGTTACCAACACTGGCAGTAGCAGTGGTTTTGGTTCTATGGTGGAAGATCTTGCAGCCACCCTATTCAACACAGAGCTTTTGGTTCTCTTTCATATCTTCCTTATTTTAGTTGGAATGGTGATGTGGTTTGGCAAATCACGGCTGCAAAAAGGAAACACCAGGAACCCTGGGACGTTTTCCAACACAGTTCAAACAGGCAAAGGCCATGGAACTGAATACAAAGAGCTAGCCTTGCAGTTGCAACTCGCAGAGGAAGAGATCCAAGAGTTGAAGAAACAGCTGGAGAATGTCCAGCACAATCGAACGAGGACATGTTCGATATTCATTTGTGAGAAAGGAACGGTGTGGCATGCCAAGGCAAATTGCCGGGCTGCGCGTCACATGCAAGAGCGACGCCCCTGCAAATTTTGTGCTAAAGAATTGTTTGAACATTTGGCATGAGATCGCACCAGCACTCAGGCTAGTGACTTGGGACCTGGGACCGCTCGCTTCTATGAAAGAAAGAGAGGTTTTTGATTTTTTGTGCGGCAAATTTTGTCAAGCGTGAGTGACGACTATGAGACTAGAGAGACCACTTTCCCAAACATAGGTTAGGTTCCAACATGGACTCCAACATGGGTTCCAACATGGGGTACAAAGACCACTTACCCAAACATAGGCTCCAACATGGACTCCAACATGGGTTCCAACATGGGGTACAAAGACCACTTACCCAAACATAGGTTCCAACATGGACTCCAACATGGGTGCCCACATGAATGGACACACACACAGAGATAGAGGCCAGGATTCGGTATAAGGTATGTGGTATTATTTTCCAGATTGATTATATATATATATAATATAGTATATTAGATTGAACGGTTTTTAACCGCGGATTTGGTAGAGGAGATGCTAGGAGAGGAGTTTTTGTGGATCCAACATGCTCTTTGAAGGATCCAACATGGTAGCATGCTCCGACTGTCGCTTTTTTGGCATAACCGCCGCAAAGCCACATCATCGGAGCTCAAAACAGGATCTATATGATTATGATCATATCCTTCTTGGGGATGCTAAAGCATGCTAAATTTGTTGGGAATCCATTTGGCTTGCGTTGCACCCTAGCTAGATTTCTTTCGCCCCACCACGACGCACGAGGTCCATCGACAACTCTACAGGGAGTGCAATGGCGACTATGCGCAAATCGCTGCCATGCACGGGGCCTTAGCAAGCAAACTGCTTGATCATAGTTATTCGGAGGGCCGATGTTGGAGCTTGAGGTTGTAGCTGTTATAGGATGTTCTAGGGTTCTGTTCTGTTGTCATTGCTGCTTTATTGTGGCTCATTTTTGTTGTGAGATCTATTGAGTAATGCTTTTCGTCGCTAAGAGGCTTCGAGTGGAGGGGAGTCGCTTGGTGCTGGACAGCCCGCTGGCGGCGGGTGGCTAGCTCAAGCTAGCACCCTGAGTGTGGGACTGAGTGCGCCACCAGAACTGGGCAGTGTCATCAAAATCCGGGGCACCGCAGATTTCCATCCAAGACTTCATACAGCTATCCCTGAGTGAGTTCGCTGCTACTTTTGGATTCCCATATGACTATGATACCGGCGGTAGTACCGGCGGAAAAGTTTGCTCAAAACATCTCCAGGTCAGCGAATTCAGAGCTGAGAGCGCAGCCTCGGTTTCTCATTTGTCTCACCGCCTTTACGCAATGAAAACGTATAGCAAAAGCCAAAAGCAGTCCTCTTTTGGGCGAGAACAGAGCACATCATCAGCGAACATGGGAAATTGGATGGAGTTGTTGTGCCATACTGTGCCCCAAGATGCCTCAAGATTGGAGGCTGGGATGTCCTGGTTGTAGTCACTAGTGGTTGCCTAGTCACTAGTGGATGCTGCAGACGTTCGAAGGCTCTGGCCATTTCCAGCCATGCGACGAAGCCCACGGCTGCTGACGTTTGGCCCGCTTGGCCTCATTGCACTGTGCCTAGTGGCACCCTGCTTCGTGGGCCTTGCCCCTCCACGCGTGGGCGGTGCACATGTGGGTGTTGCACTCGGGTGCAATGCCAGGACACCAGTGGTACGACAGGTGCAGGGGTTCGGACACGGTTGTTTTGTGTAGCAACATGTGACAACTTATTGAACACAAGTCTCATCTAACATACTGTAATTACAGTGTCTAAGATGGCAACTTGTTACTGTTATTGTTTGCTATTGGGCGTTCCCAGTTTTGTAGCATGTTGTGTGGTCATGCTCTTGAAACATTGTGTTTTCCCATGTCTTTTTCCCCAAACATCCAGTTCTTGCATAAGTGGATCCCGGGGACCCATGTGAGAAGCGAGAGGCGTTCTCTGCCGCAGCTCCAGCGATTCCACTGGTGGGAGCCGTGCTGGTCTTCTTCGGATTTCAGGCCTTGAACACGGAGGCGGCTTGGGACAAAGGTACCATGGACTTGGGATGGTGAATGTTGGGCGCGAAGGATGCTTAGATCATCCATATTTCAGTGTTCTTCAACAGAGCACTCTAGAGTCTACTTTAGAGTCTTTAGAGGCTTCATCTACCAGTAGTGTCCTGGGTATTTTAGTTGAAGATGACTGCAGGTAGTTGGAGAAAGGGGTTAGATTCAGACCACAACAAATCAATCAATAAACAGGCTCCCCTTTGGGGACTGATGAGCTGATGGGAGTCAGAACAGCTCAAGGAATCTAGAAGTGAAGATCCAAGATGGGTGATACATCCAGCATGCCAAAGGAAAAGATCTTCACACTCCCTGAAACAATCATGGAAGACCATTTTCCTCTACAAGGGGGGTCCTGGTCAGCTTCCATGATTGTTGGAGGGAGGGTAAGCTTAAGATATAAGATCATTAAGGCCTGTGTGGGGAGGAGCATGCCGGAAGCTTCAGCATCTTCATGCGACCCCCAAGCAACACATTGACATGTCGACAAGAACGTCGAAAGCATGGGGCCCCCCTTGGGGGGGCCTGTTTGCAGGCCAGCGATGGTGCTTTGAAAGAGCTCTTGCAAAAATACACCAAGATCCAAATCATCAATGTGACCCCTGCTTGCTGGCGGCATTGCTGACATTTGTTTCAGTGTTGCTGGGGTATTTTGTTCAATATTGTTAGGATCTTCCAACGAAAGGTTGCCGGGCATAGGAATTCGTATAGGGGTTGGGTGGTCCCGATTTGGATCTTTTGGCTGCTCAGTTGGTCCATTCGCATTCCCCCAGCCAAGTGTTGTTACAAGCAATTGACGGGATCAATGTGTCTTCTACAAGTCAGACACGTTGATACGCGACTCGCTGGCGCAAGTGATAGTTGTGAAGGAATATGAGGTAGGACCCCACAACTCCTATGTCACTAGCCCAGCAAATTCTTATGTCATTAGCCCTCAGTATTGCTTGTAACTGCTTCTACATGTGCGCCTTTGGCACTGACTGAGCACCGTCCAGGACACCGATTTGAGCGATGTGGCAAGTGGTGTCACCCATCGTCCAGTGCTGCGAGGGAAAACAGCCAAGGACGTGCATTGGTATGCCTCTAGGCATCGGAAAAGGCCGAGCTGAGTGGAACAATTTTGTTTCAGCCAACGAGGCCCCTCTGCATGTGCCATGTGCCCATTTGAGTGGAACGGTTTGTGCTCAGAAAAGAGATTGAGATCCTGTCTCACATGTTGTTTGTTCTTCCAAGAGGGCCGCTGAAGTTTGCACGAGTTTGCAGAGAATCCCATGACATCCTATGGATTCATCCGGAGTGAAATTCAAGCAATAATATGCAAATTATAGGAAAACGATGGAACACTTAGACCTCCTATGGAGAGGCTTAGTTTGTTTCCTGAAATCCAAGGCTCGAAGTGAAAAGGAGCTGCCGCCGGTGAAGTGGTACATTCGACGCTTGCCAGGCGTGAGGCAACGGAACGACAACTTCACGGAGCAACGTGCTAACGGACACGTAACCGAGCATGTCCACGCTAAGTCTTAGTTGGTGACACCATGGCGCAGAAGCATCAGAGACTACACATTCCTTGCCTGCATTGGTGGTCATTCTCTTGCGGATGGTCGTGGAATGAAGGAGCAAAGTATTCTCGCTTTCGTTCTCAAGTGGTGGTGACGATCTGAGGTTGAACTCCTTAAGGTGTTAATCCACAAGTTCTACAGTGGAAGAAACGGGACCCCCAAGATCAAGAGCCGAGCCACTGCCAGGGAGGTTCTTCCATGTCCAAGAGATTGATCAACTTGTCTTAAGGAGATGAGTCTGTCCTTCGCCGCGTCTTGTTCGAGGGCGGCTTGGGACTGGGTGAGCCGCTTGCTGCGAAGCCAGCGCGCTGTTTCAGCGCGCACGCGCGCTGCGCGAGAGGGACCCGGTGGAGGCTTTGGTGTTTCCGAAAGAGATTCACCGGTGGACCAGGAGTGTGTTGCAGTTCATTCATGGCTGGGTTGTTTGTAAGGTCCTCAACCGTGCTGGGGGGACCCCTTCAACAGGCAGATGTGTGCAGGGCAGCTTGAAGGAAAGACGAGGGGGGGCCGTGCCTGCGACCCAATCAATATCAATATCAGTACGACTTTCGTAACATATAGTCACTCTGTTACAAGCTATGACCATTTTATTCGACCATGCCCCTGCAGTGAAATACAGAGTGTGCACATACGGAGTGTAGTTACGCAAATCGACTGGTGGCTTGCGACATTACATGATATTACTCTAAACTAGCTTCATCTAGCTTCCAGTTAAAGTCGGATTGACTTGGTCAATCTCAGCAAAGGTTCATTGAACTGCTGCAAGTTTGCAGTTTCGGCTGTAGACACCACACACGCTCACACAAACCTTTGCGCGTCTGAACGTCTGCCGAGCGAGAACCGCGCGACTGCCGACGCCGACGGCGAGGTCGTACATGGATGGCCACTGGGACAGCGATGACGTGGAGCGCTTGGTCTACGAACTGCTTCGGATTGAAGATCAAACCAAGGAGTGAGCGGAGCGTGTCGTGAGCGGTTTTTTCGAACCCGGAAGGTGAGATGGTGGGGATGTGGGTCGGAGTCCAAGAAAGTTTTGATGATTCAGGATGTTGCATCAGACAGTTCAAGCATTCATATCATTGTTGACATGTTCTGGCAGGACCCCGATTTGGAGGGTTGGAGGGTGTGAAGTTGATTTGCACTCCCACCGAGACAGCCACCATAAAGAGAATTGGATAGCACCGCACAACCTGCGAACATACTTTACAGGATAAGATTACGAATGGGATGCCCAAGAAACAGTAGACTCCTACAGTACTGTTCGTTTCCCCCCTAAAACAACTGAAGAATATGCAAAAGATCAAAAAGCTTGGAAGACTATAGTATATAGACTATATAAACATACCATAAACCGCTATAGACCTATACGCATTTCTAAAGAATCCTATAGACTGTGTGTCTAGGACCTTTCAGACGACACCGGACCTACCCCGTCGGGCCTGGATGGTCCTGTGGTTTGACTCAAGGAGTTGGGCGCCAGAGAGCTTCCACTGATTGCGAATATCATTTTGGGAGCTCTCAGAGGCCTACAGCATGAGTAGCGCTCGGAGGAAAGACACATGAACATTTTGGGGCCCATGTGGGCTAGGCTGCTTTTGAGAAGAATGACTGACCCACAAGATTAGGTCCAGAAGAGAACATATTTTGTCTGATTGGTAGGATTTGCTGTTATGGTTCGATGACCTGGCAGCCATGTTTCGGGCTTGCGCTGGTCGGTCGGTTGAAGTCGCTTTTTGTTACAATATCATGCAGAATTGAGACAGAAACGCCTAGAGCATCCTAGAGGCTATTCCTCAATCTTGGAGGTCTTCGCTAGTAGGTTCGAGGCCATTGCTATTCAATTTGGAGGTCATTGCTTAAAGATGTGATATCTTAAAGGAAAGGGATCGACACCAAAAAGCGATGCGCGCAAGGCAAGCTTCTGGAGTTGCCGGGGAACACCGTGCAGGGCGCGCAGGAGAACATTGGCCGGACCTACGATGTGGCAGACCAGCAGCATAGAGACACCAGGGGGGCATGATTTTGGAAAATGGTGGATCACCAGTTCATGTGCAGCGCACCAACTGATATCTGATATACTTGTGGGTTGAGCTTTTCTGGCTGACGAGTACGCTGGCTGTCCGGGCTCGATGGAATTTTGCAGAGGGATTGGAGGCTGCACTGAATGGGGTGAAGGTGGGCAATGTTAAGGACACCATCAAGATCTACGAGCAGATGCTGGATAGCAACATGCAGCACCTTAGCAGCCTTAGCATCACCTAGACACACACTTGACAGTTCACCGCTACTTGGTATAGCGGTCATTACAGGCGCTGGAGGGATGTTTGAGTTTGCCCAACAGGGGACAGGCTCCAAATCTCCTCCGAGCTCCCAGTTCGTGATGTCTCTTTAGGCGGCAGACTCGAAGAAGCGCCATTCCGGCATCCGACACAGTTGAAATGAATCCTGAGGTATTCCGTGGGCTACTTCTACCAGCCGGACATGACCTTAGATGACGCCCAGCTGGCCAAGATGGAGCTCATTGGGAAGAAGTTGGCCTTGAAGCCAGGCAAAGTCGGTACGCACCTGGTTGAGAGTAGTGAGTAGTATTAGTTGATAATTGATACTGTAATTGGACACCACGTGGCTCCTGAAAATCGTGTAGAAGTGACCCAGTTGTGTATGGCATTGCTTTCAACCAAATCTTGATTGATCTCAAGCTCGTGGAACTAGGGGCTTGCCGGACTTTTTTGTTGATTTTTGGCTTGGGAGGCATGAAGCTTTTGGAAATTGGGTTCGGCTTTGGGAGCTTGGCGCATTTCTTGGCGACCAAGTATGATGTTCACATCACGGCAGCTTGGCACGCGTTTGGCGCTTGGCGACATCCGGATGGGACGATTTCTTGGGGGCATGATGTTGTGACAGTTTGCACCAATTTGCACCACATCATGCATTCAAGTCTCTTGAAATGCACTCTGCACTGGAGAACTGCACTGGTCTTAATGGACGTTGAAAGACCAAAAGCTTCAGCAAGCTCGCTTCAATTACTGTACCTCGGAGCAGGCGGTCATGCCTTACCCGTCACCTCATCCCTCAGTCATTCCTCGGAGAGCTATGCAGAGCTTAGGCAGTGACCCTGTCCAAGGCCCAAATGGAGTCTCGATTGGATCAGAACTCGCCAGGTGGATGGCGTTCGGTGGCGAAAGGGTTCCGGGTGGATGGTCCCACAGTGGTCCCACAGTTTTTCCGATGAGTTGCACAGTTCCTGGATGGGTTCAGGTGGCGAAGCTGCTTTCTTTGGCTCATTGCCTTGGAGAAGGGTCGAAAGAGTTGGCCTAAAAACGTCTTCAGCGGGCAAACAGACACCGGATCAGCGGGGTGGCTGTTCTTTCAGGGGCAACTTGGGGCGAAGTCATGTCGAAGCAGCCTGCTTTGGGGGGGCGTTGCTTCTACCAGCCCAGTAGCTCCCCAGATGCGGTGGTTTTCGGCTTCTGTATGGCGCCCTATCCGTTCCAAAATCAGTTCTTCGCGTTCTTTTGCGGGTGCGGTGAGTCAGGAGTGGGCGAAGGAACACTATGGTCATCCAAACATTGACTTCCAGTATGCCGACTACCGCGATGCCCCAGAAGGTCAATACGACCGTGTTTACTCCGTGGGCATGTTCGAACACGTTGGCCGGAAGTCTTTCGCCACATACTTCGACAAAGTGCAGCTTGGATGGTACTGGTGTTGGTCGCATGGGGCAGAAAGTGAGAAGCACAAACTTGGCACAAGGCAAGGTGAAAAAGACCGCTGTTCATGTTGATGATTGACATGGGATGGACCTGGAGTGATGGGATGGACCTATCTCAAAGCCTTTGTGAAAGAATAAGTATTCTCATTGTGACACGCGACACGGCATCACTGTTGGGCCACTTCGCCAAATCTTTCCGGAAGACACTGGGAAAAACTTCAGCAAACAATCTTTGTTGCTTTGAAAATCGGGCTGATCAGGGTTCTTGGCGGCTTTAGCCAATCACAAGCACAACCGTCCACGGTCCAGAATTTCAGCACGTTTGTGGGATGGTTAGGCACGTTGGGCTGCCCAAGGTTGGAACTGAAGATTTGACAGAAAGAATCCTATAGTTCAATGAGTTCGATGTGTATTTCTCCCTATGTCTCCAGACTCAGGTATAACTGCTTAAAGGATGACGGCATTTTTTTTGTTGCACACTCTGGGCTGGGCCAAGCGTGGCGAGTGGAATCACAATGCCTTTGCAACTCGGTGATGCGCAGCACATCGAAACAAAGTCTTTGTGAATGCATAACGAGTCTTTGCAAAGGGTTCTTGATGGGTTTACCGCTGGGTTTACCATGGTTTACCCATGCTTGTGTATGAATTCATCTCTCGAATAATGCCGGGGAGCAGGATGATTATGAGCCAGGATGGTGCCTTAATTTGACAGCAAATCTCCTCCTAGTCGAAGAGCTCATATGTTCTAGTCTAGTATTTCCTCATCTCGATCGACCAAGGTGGGAAAATACATTTTCCCGGGTGGGGAGCTCCCAACCCTGTACTTGTTGACCGAAGAGTTTTCGGACCAGTGGCATCTCGAGGAGCCGGAGGGTAGGATGGGCATCAAAGACACACGGGACGATCAAGTTCCGGTGATTTTCATGGGTCGTGTTCAGACTTGGATCACGTGAAATCACGTGAATGCGGAGCGTTGGAACACGGAGCCGAGCTTACTGGAGAAGGACCCCGGTACACCTCATCAAGACTAGGTGGCTTTTCAAGAGTGGCTTTTCAAGGCCACCTAGGCAGGTGGACAAAGACTTCATTTTCTTCATTCCGGCTGTGCAGCGCGCAGCCTGGTTTTCACACATCAATTCCATTGCGAGTCCAATACACATCATGCATTCGCTGATTGTGCCAATCCAATAGATGTTATGATTGCAGGGTAGAAGGCTTTTTGGTGGTTTCCTGTGCCAAGTTCGGACATCATTTTCTTGAGCAGTGGCAACTTTATGGTGCAGTAGTCAGCAACTGCTTGACAATTTGGTCTTTGCATCACCCTCGCGCCTCACCGCCAGGACTTCCAGAGTCTGGGGAAGTGCTACGCCACTCGGTCTTTCCGGAGTTTGGGTCGGGTGGTTGGGCTTGCCCGAAACCAGCGCCTTGGAATACGGCCAGGCTTAGAAAGTTCTTAGGTTTGAAATGATGCATGTGGAGGATTGGCCATCAAAATGACACCAACGAAGGGGAAGTAGTGCAGAGTAGAACAGTATACATGATCCACCGGTGGAAGGAAATCACACATTCTTGATGTTGACCTACCCATCAAAACATCCCTCCATGAAATCCATCCAACCATCCCTCAGATTGACCAAGGTCCAGACCCTTCGGAGCTGGCTGAACAACTTGAAGACCTGGGAGGGCATGGATGAGTTCGACACCAGGTTCAAACGGATGATGCTCAGATGAGGTTCAATTTGAGTTCTTTTATACTTTTCCCTTGGGACATTGACATCAGTTGACTTATATACTGTATATTGGCTTATAGATTATGAACTTATGGCCACTCCAAAATATTTTTGGGCCTTAGTGGTTTGGAGGTCCAAGAAGTCTTGTTTCGCTGGTTGTTAGGAGTTTAGGGAAGTTGGGGATTTCAGGTTTAGGTTTACATCGTTGAGCCAGTCGCTACTGGTAATGGACTCAAAGACGTGCCCATGAGGCACTTCTTTCACTTGACCTCCAATGCCTCCCATTTGGTAGCATGAATGAAGTATATTATGAATGATATGTTGTGGGCCAAGGATCCTTCACTGTAATTCCATACTGCCTGGTGTTCACAACAGGACGATGGGAACCTTGTTCCGAACTGAGACGTGGCGCGCACCTTTTGCCCCGCCACGCCATGGAACCTCAGGTGGGAATATTACCTCTCTTGCTGCGCTGCGGCGTTTGAAAAGCGGAGGACCTGGGGGCCAATTGGCCCAAGCCACAAAAAAAGCCCAGAGCTGTTTCAACGCTTTTACCGTGTCAACGGGACGGTACGCAATCAAGTGCTGGACAGGTTGGGGTCCTGTAGCCGTAGACCAAAGCCACTGGTCCTTGCCAGGACCAAAGTTTGGCAAATGGTTTGGACCAAACAGCTCAGTACCAGGCTGGGCGTTTTCAGACAGCGGCGGTGTTGGGACCATGCCGTCAGTTTTCAGAAAGAGTCAGGCGTTCACCGAAACAACAGGACGAAATCAATCGCATTCAAAGCAGACAACCCCGCAACAAAAAACACATCTTTTGACCTGAACAAGGGGAGAAGGCGACGGAGAGTAAGGGGGACACAGAGAGACAGTTAGAAAGAAGCAAACGACAAGGATAATGAAAAAAAGACAAGCAGGAGATGAAAGGAGACCAATGAGAAGACGCAGCGACAAGAGACACCAAAAGATGCACAAGATAGTAAAGTTTTGCAAAGCTAAGCAAGAAACGGAGAGAGAGAGAGAGAGAGAGGCAACAAACATGTCATGTTTTCTTTGAAGCTTACACGGTGAATCTTATGTGATCTTATGGTGCTCGTACCAAGTTATGTCAGTCAGTCTTGGTTTCTCATCCTCTAGTTTCGCTGCCGACGGCTTTGAAGGTTGGAGGATTGCAATCACATCCGCCTGGTGGATGGAAAACCACGTTGAACTGAACTCGACTTCCCAACTGCCTGTGCTCAACACCATGGCCACCAACTTGGCTGCGTTGCCAAACGTTGTGGCAATAGAAACGGGTACCAGCTCGCTTGATGCAAGAGCCGTGGCCTGGGGTAGTTCGACAGAAAGAAGCTTAGGGCTTAGGGCCAAAGTGCCCGATCGACCAGCTGCTTTCAGGGCGCGCCACAACCTCGCTGCGGCTGACGACCTCCCAACGATCCCCGCGAGTTGAGCTGTCCCACTCGGACGATGCTTTGAGGAAACCTTGCAGTCAATCACGGCCAAACCAGTATATTATTGTAGAGTCTGTAGAGTGCTCAATTCCTCACATACCAGATTGATCATCCAAGTTGGAGAGCTATACAGTCTTCGGGGGTCGCTAGGAGGGCATGAAAAGGCCTTGTTTCCTGCCAACTTCACATCCCTGACAGCTGAATCAGGATCCTAAATCGAAGTCTAGGGACCCCGCAGTCCACGTCGTTCTGACCTGTGGAAGGATTGACGACCTTGAAGAGACACACACAACCTATATAATATACGGTACTAAGCAAGAATACCTGAAGGATCAAGCAAACAATTCATAATGAAAGGTATGAAGTAGGGGTGTTGGAGGGTCGAAGCTCCAGATGTGTCACCAGGGCGCTAAGCTTAGGTCGTCTTCGTGGTATATGAACTTGCTTAAGCAAGTGTTTGCATGCTGAAGCTTTCTTGCTCCAAAAGCTGCTTTATGTTACTGTACTTTTCTTTATGTGTGTGTGTGTGCGTGTGTCCTGCAATCAGTACAAGTACTATCGCAGTACGCCAAGCTGAGTAACCTCCTCATTCATCGGCGGTCCGTTATGTTGAGTGGATGTGCGCCTTTGTTTGTAACACGAGCCTGCAGTAGTTGCCTGCGGACAGACCTTCGAGCATGACCGAGAAGATACATGTTTGGCCAGCCGGCCAGCCCATCCGTTGACAGTCCCTACAGTGAACAGTTTGCCCAGAGAAGCCATCATCGGCGCCATGCCAAGTGCTGAGCTCCTTGCCACACTGGCCGTCGCTTGGAAGAGCAACGGGCTTCTGACTCGGACGTGGTGGCCAATGGACTTCTTGAGCAATTTCCTTTGCAAGTTCTTGATCAGTACACGGTACATGTTTGACCTTCCACTTCTGAGATTCTGAACTCTGTCTAAGGGATACAAGATGATCCAAGAGCCCTTGAGCTGGCGTTGTTGTAAGCGATTAAAGGCTATCAAAATGTATAACATGTTGTTTGATGGGATCTTATGCTCTACACATTCACACGGAAATGCTCATCTGGCCTACGACGGTCGACCACTTTGAGGCTTTTTGGTGGTGTTTGGATGGGAAATGACAGCTCATTTCATGTTGGTGGCAAGGTCTTCGCATGAGAATGGTGGAGAGAAGCAACGTTCTTCTGAAGCCATGTCTTGAGATCATGGGAAATTTGGAGACACCTGGAAATTCACTGCACCATTGGGCGTGCCCCCCTTGCTCCGAGGACATGCCGGCCAAGGAGCCCCTTCCTTGGATGCAAGTCGCGGGGTGTTTGTGGGGTGTTTGACGATGCCATGGAAGTGGACGAGGCCAAGGAATCTCTTAAATTTTCACATTAAACATGTTCATTCAACCTCCTGACAAAGAATTTGGACCTCGTAAAGTGAGCTTTCGAAGTGAGTCATTTGAGAAGATTGGACGTGTAAGACGCAGAGTCTAAGTCCACATTCAAGACACGCTGGAGCACTAGCTTGGATGCATGTTCGCAGACCTCACACGTAAGGAACATGCGTTTCTTTTAGTTTTTGGATTGCTTTGGACGGCTGCGAACGGCTTGGGGGCCTTTAAGGTATTTGAAGCATTTCTGCTTGGACTACTACTTGTCCGAAGCACTTCAATGTGATTCCACAGACAAGCTCCAAGACTTTTGGCAGGCAGGGGCTCGCCGATGTTGATTGCAACTTGCATGGTGCCGTAATTCAGTTTCGGATGCCGAATGCGCCAGAGTGATGCCTTTTAAAAGTTGGTTCCTGAGAGGTAAGATGCTCTGTCAACCTTTTGCATTATGCAACTCTCCGGAGAGGAAAAAAACTGTACCGCGGTATGGGTCGGGTGACTCAGACAATTTGTTTATCCATTTGGCTGTTTTGAACCATAGTCGAGCAGCGAGTAAGACACTAATTGAGCCCTTCCAGGATGTCCTGGATGGCAGCCACTTGAAGTCCAAAGCCTATGACTTCAAGCGCGGGTCTCACGGACACCACCGCCCAAGTCCTGTTTGTTGAGGGCATAACTGTTCATTCAGGAACGTTCAGGATGTGCATTGGTTTGATCCCGGTGATTATATACCTCCACAAAATGCTGATTCATAGACTGTTGGCCGAACCTGGAGATGGGGGGCTTTATGAAATCAATATGAGTTGACAGTGACATCAACCGTTCAACCTTGCAGATTCTGGTCGGCTTAAGGAACGTGTTGGGATCCTTCGTCCGACATGTCCACTGAGGAGGGTCATGGCGACCGCAGAGAATCGCCGGAGCTTTGTGGAGCTGTTAAGGAGAGCCGGTGGAGGGGTGCCTCCAAGTAACGGTTTCTGTCTTGGAATGTGTTGATGTTTGGTTTGGATTCATTAAAGGGGATCATAGGAGATCTATGAAAGTATATATAATTGAAGTATATAAGTATCTAAGATTTGGGGCCCAAGTCTTATGAGCCTACTGTGGGTTGGGAATGCGCTATCTGGGTTTTCATAATTATATATGTTTTACACCAACATTTTGGTGCAGACCTGACGCTGTGGGTCCAGTTCGAAGCCAACAGCCCAGGGTCCCACAAGTGCTTGTCTAAGTCTAGGTGTCGTGGTGCTTGCACATCCTCGCAACCTTTTCAGGCCGCAGATGTTTGACCATGTTTGACCATGTTTGACCCACACACCAAGAATCATTGGTGGATGTCATGCGAGTCAGATTCTGGGAGCCTGAAATTCTGCTCAGACCCGGCGAGGTATTATTCCAGACCCAAACGAGGTTGGGTTGGACTCTCGAGCTCAGGACACGTTTGAAGCTGGTCACATCCAAGCCAGAAGTGCTAGCGGTGACCGTGCTGGATTTCTACGATATGCTTGTGACTTGGGCAGATGATTGATGATGACGGATGTGGTCACAGCCCCTTTGCCGACTTGGCATGTACGACACCGGAAGGCCCACGATGTATCCTTGCCAGGACCTAGCAGCACAGAAACAGAAGCACAGAAACAGTAGCACTTGCTAGGGTTTACCTGAGACACTGGGTTGTTCCATGATTTCCGCTATTGAAATTGGTGCACCTCAGGTGGTGCAGGTTCCGGTGCGTTTGGCCCCACACCGGCGCCTGGAGAACTCCGTTGTGAGGTCTTGCTGCTCCCGGACTTCCCTTTGGACCTACTGGTGGATGCAGCCGACCTGGCCATGCCCGTGGTGGACCGGAGGGGCGGTGGGCGCGAGATGGCGCGAGGTCCACTGCACCAGTTTTTGTGGAACGTGTGAAGACGGGAAGGGCACACGGGAAGACCTAAGATGTTCAGCCAGGTATAGAATCTTTTTTGATCCGTTTTGTCTCGCAACTAGCCAGGTTTGCAGACGGGTTTTCTGATGTTAGTTTTCTGAGTGTTGAACGGGGATGTTCCCGGAGTGGATGGCGACAAACCCAGAGATCGCTGGCGGATTGCAACAACACAAGCAGGAGGAGTCCTAGCAGTAGTAGTGGCGGTAGTGGTGGTAGTAGTAGTTGTTGGCGTCGTCGTAGTAGTAGTAGTTGTTGTTGTGGTGATGGTGGTGGTGGTGGTGGTGGTCGACTCACATCCATCCATGCAGGACGCTGCCAAGTTTCGCGTCCTAGGGCAGCAGATGCCATCAGCTGAGCCAACAGGCCCACCAGATTAGGAAAGGTCACGGGTCCCAGCTGTGAATGGCTCAGACCAGCTTAATTTGACCTATTTTCTTCTGAATAATGAATTTTTCTTCATTCCCGCCAGCTCCCACATCACGAACATGCCCACCGTCAATTCTTAAAATTTGTGCCACCTATTGACCTCTCAGCTGCCCCTATGGCCAGTTGGTGCCAGCCTTGCTGCCGCCCTTTATGCTGGTGAGATTCTGCTCCTTGGTTATTTTGTGGGCTGGAAGGTTTGCAAATGGAGCCGCCCACCACTTTATCATTTATCCACTCCTGGATGAAAACACGACCCTATCAGGCCCTATCAACATCAAGTAGTTACGCTCCATCGCATATGATCAGCCACCAGCTTTTGATTCAATTTGGAGAGTCCTCTCCTGTTATGTAAACCAAACAGTTTGGATAGAACTATCGTGCTTACCCCGCGGAAACTTATTATAATATGGATATATAATATATACTCGAAGGATTCTAAAGGCTGTGAGCTGCTGTGTCATCTCCACACTCATCTCATTTGATTTCGTTTCTTTTTTCCTGCTCTCCGCTCCGCTGGAAGCAGAACCTGATTTGTTTGACTCGATGTTTTGTGCAGATCACTCTTTGCATGTTACAAAAACCCGGGTGTTCACGCTCAGCTTCCGTTCTAGCAAAACGACAGCAGGAATGTTAACACTGGACCTCACTAATGCCAGAAGTTTAAGTCAAAACGGCTTATCCCTTCACAGGTTTTTTTTTTTTGTGCTTGCTTCCTTAATAAACATTGTGTTTTCACAGGTTAGCCGCACGGTTAGCCGGAGGAGGCCTTCCTATATCCCCCATTTGTTTAAGGAGGTGTATTTTATTGTTGTTTTTTTTGTTGGTTTCTTTTTTGGATTTTTTTTGTTTTTCGTGGCTTCTGGCTTCTGTGGCTTCTGGCTTTTGTGGCTTTTGGCTTCTGTGGCTTCTGGCTTTTGTGGCTTTTGGCTTTCGTGGCTTTCGTGGCTTCTGTGGCTTTTGGCTTTTGTGGCTTTTGGCTTTTTGGCCTATCCATCTATCTGTCTATACCTATCTATTTATCTATCTATCTTTCTTTCTTTCTTTTGGCAGCTGTTCTCCTTTCTCTTTTTGTATTTGCTTTTCCTGTTGTTTTCGTTGCAGAGACGAAACCAAACAAGGAAGCAAGCAAGCAAGCAAGCAAGCAAGCACGAGCTGCTCACCTTTGGATCTGGTGTGCTGCTGGGGGGGGGCGCTGCGCCCCCCCCCCCCAACGCCCCCCGCGCCACGAAATCTGCACTTCATCCCCGACACCCGCGCCTGCCACGAAATCAATATTTTAAGGTGAACTCCCCGGTGCAAAACTTTCTAACCAAGCAAATATGCCTCCTCTATCTATCTATCTATCTATCTTATCTCATCTAATCTAATCGAATCTAATCTAATCTAATCTATCTATCTATCAACTTATCTTTCTATTTTTCTATCTTTCTGCAGTTCAACATCCACAAAGTACTGCACCTGCCACGAAAGCTGCACTTCAAGGTCCACAAAGTCTTGCGCCTGCCACGAAATCTGCACTCCAAGGCCCACAAAGTCCTGCACCTGCCACCAACTCTACACTTCCACACCCACAAAGTCCTGCATCTGCCACGAAATCTGCACTTCAAGGTCCACAAAGTCCTGCGCCTGCCACAAAATCTGCACTCCAAGGGCCACAAAGTACTACACCTGCCACGAAATCTGCACGTCAAGGCCCACAAAAAGTCCTGCGCCTGCCACAAACTCTGCACTCCAAGGCCCACAAAGTCCTGCACCTGCCACGAAATGTGCTCTGCAAGGTCCACAAAGTACTGCACCTGCCACGAAACACGAAAAACAAAAAAAACGAAAAAAATTCAGAAATAAATTCGCACCCTTTGTTTAAGGGATGCAGCACACAGACAGCCACAGACTCGGACAAAGTCCAACCCAATCATGTACTTTGCGGCATCCATTCTACAAGCATTCATGAGGGTGCTTCTTCAACGATAACGCGTCCCAAAAAGCGGTTCGTCAGCAGCCGGCTGTGTAATCTGCCCACCACCCGCCCGCACTCACCTACCAATCAGACGCCTACAACTCAGCATGCGTCGTAGCAAATACGCATTTTGGTTTGGCGAGGTTTCCTATGACTGATCTTCAGCTCATGCTGGAGTTCCGGCTGGTCTACGCTGAGGCTGTTGTGATGCTTGCCTTTCTCGGTCGGTCATAGGAGTTCGGAGTAACTAAAAAGGCCTCAGTGAAGAAACTCAGAGATGAAACTGGAATTCCACCGCAGAGGCTCATCCAATTCCTCCATTTCCTTGATTTCCTCCATATGGGATATATAGGGGATATCGGGATATCCATATTTGCCTCCTTTCCTTCCCCCTATGCGGGACTCATCCATTTCTTCTATCGCGTCACATTTTCCAGGTCTTCGAGCTGCTGCGGGAACACTACACCGCCGGACCCGCCGACGTCACGCCGAGAAGCCGCCTCACTCCATTCCCAAATAGCTTAGATTGAATGGGCTTCTAAGAAGCTTAGATTGCGGCGAGACCTTTTGACTCACTTTGACCCACATCTCAGTGATAACCAGGGTTGTAGGATGGCCCTTCTTTGCTCATGTGTCGGGGAATGTCCATTAGGATGCTAAACAACCTGGAACTTGTAACCGTTTCCCACCTATATATGGAGCATCCATGTTGACAATTTCTTAGCGAGTGTTCATTAAGAAGCGGTACATATTCAGATAATCAGATAAGATTCTTCACATGGTTTAACACCCAGCATGGCCACCAGCATTTCTCACGCTTTCGATGCTGTTCCGACATCCAGCTGCTTCGGTAAACCGGTAGACCCGGCGAGCGCCGAACTCGGCACAGGAGGGCTTGAGAGCTGCAGTCGGATGGTCCTAGTGAAGTTGCTGAGGCGTGCCAAGCAGCATGTGCGAGCATGTGCTGCGCAGCGCATGCCTAGATTTAAAGATATAAGTGTAGGTGTTTTAAAACATAATTTATGTACACATAATATACATGTGTTTTTAAGCTATACAAAAATATCTACTGTATCAAGAAGAAGAACACTCGTATTTGGAGAGGCTGCACGCGGTCCAGGATGACGTCCATCATTAGTAGTTGTAACTTATCTGCCTACGTCTCGCACCAGCATTTCGCTTCGCACCATGTCCCGCACGCGCAGGGACAAGCTTTGCAGCCTCCATGCGTGGCCCAGTGAAGGTGAGGGTCGGGTTTTACGCACTCAATGTCCCAGCGTGTGTGTTTTAATTGTTTTTGTGGGATCCCTTTGAATCCGTTTTAATCGATTCTATTTTGCCAAGTAGTCCCATGCCTCGTTTCAGACATCGTGTGACACTACAAGGCTAAGCAGCTGTGCTTGATTTTCAGCATATGCAGCTGTTCAAGGAGGAAAATAGAAGAGAGACGTGAGCCCGAACTTGTTCAACTTGTGAGTGATGTCAAAAAAGTCATCGATAGAGAGAAACAGAGAGAAAGTGAGACAGCACAATTGAGAGACAAAGTTCACTCCAAGCTGGAAGCGAGCAAGTCAAGGTTTCTGTCCATAGAATCTGGAACTCCAATGGGGCTGGGGTATGTGGATGCTCACGGTGTTCCATCTCCTGTCAGTTGCTTCAGCATCGCTTCCGATGCCCTGCGCCAGCCATTTTCAGCCTCAGATGCCCTGCACCGACGTCGGCAGCACGATCAGCCACGATGGCTGTCTCCTCATTGCTAGATCTTGAGGTGATCGGCTTGGACGGCCAAGGGCATCATCTTCGTGTGTCGAGTTCTCTCACTGGCCGTCACCTGCGGAATATCATCAGTGAGCGTTTCCCCAAAGCCGGCGCCCGGGTCTCCCTGCAGAAGGGTTCTGAGATGATTTTGCTGAACAAAACTTTGGAGGAACAGGGCCTTTTTGAAGCTGCCAGCATATCCTGTGTGTACATTCCGGCAAGCTTAGTAGATGCCTGGAGATTTATGCAAGGCCTGACGGTCGAGGACGAAGAGACCGCGCTAGAAGGAGTATCGCATGTCGAAGGGATCAATAGCATGAATCAGTCGAAAGAGCTGCCCCACACCTTGCGGACGCTAAAATTTGGGACTGAATTCAATTACACTTTGGATGGAGTGACTTGGCCAAGCCGCATCCGGAATTTGACTTTCGGGGCACAATTTAATCAGAACTTGGAGCGGGCGACCTTGCCAAAGAACCTGCTACATTTGACATTTGGCGACCTATTTAACAAGAGTTTGAAGCGTGTGACCTTGCCAAATGCGCTTGAAACTCTGACGTTTGGCTGCCATTTCAACAAGTGTTTGAAGGGTGTGGCTTGGCCCGGCACGCTCCAAAGACTGACTTTTGGCACGCAATTCAACCGGTGCTTGGAAGGAGTTGCTTGGCCGAGCGCACTTCAGGAGTTGACGTTCGGCTCACAATTCAACCAAAGTTTGGATAGAGTGACGTGGCCTCGCAGCCTCCAAACATTGAACTTCGGCAAGCGATTCAACCAGACGTTGAAGGGAGTTCTTTGGCCACAGAATTTGCGAAGTTTGATGTTTGGCAGTGACTTGAGCCAGTGCTTGAATGGAGTGATTTTGCCCAGGAACCTTGAGAATTTGATCTTCGGCGATTCTTTTGACCAGAGCTTGGAGGGTGTGACTTGGCCCAGTCACCTCAAGAACCTGAGTGTTGGCGACCAGTCCGGTAAGAGCTTGAAGCAAGTGAATTGGCCAAGCAGCCTGCAACAGCTGACCTTTGGCAAGGTTTGCCAGCAATCTCTTGACGGTGTGACTTGGCCCACATGCCTTGAGACTTTGAGTCTGGGCGACCACTTTAACAAGAGCTTGGAGCAAGTTACGTGGCCGAATCGCCTCCGTTGTCTCACGTTTGGTGTCGAATTCAACCAGGCTTTGGACGGTGTGACTTTCCCCAGTGGCCTTCAGACCCTGATTTTCGGTGAGCACTTCAACCAGAGTTTGGACACAGTCACATGGCCCAGCGGCCTTCGAAACATAACCTTTGGTTCCAAATTCAACCAGAGCTTGGATAGGATAACTTGGCCCAGCAATCTCCAGAGCTTAGCATTTGGCAATGATTTCACCAAAGGTTTGAACAGAGTAGTTTGGCCTCATGGACTTCAACACCTTACATTTGGCCAAGAATTCAACCAGAGTTTGGAGCACATCAGTTGGCCCAGTCTGCAGACTTTGACATTTGGTGACCGCTTTAATATGCGGTTGAAGCGAGTAGCTTTGCCAGACAGCATCCAGAGCTTAGTCTTTGGTGACCTCTTCAACAAGAGCATTCGGCGGGTGGCTTGGCCCGGCAGCCTTCGAAGCTTGTCGTTTGGCTCCCGATTCAACCGGAGACTCAAAGGGGTGAAATGGCCCAAGAGTCTCCAAAGTTTGAGGCTTGGCACCCATTTCAATCGTCCGCTGGAAGGGGTCACTTGGCCAAGCAGTCTTCGGACGTTGACCTTTGGCAGCGACTTCGATCAGCGGTTGGATCGAGTGACTTGGCCCAGCAGTCTTGAGAATTTGACGTTGGGCTCGGGATTCAACCAGCGAGTCCTTTGGCCCAACCACCTGCAGAGTTTGAACCTCAGCGGCCAAGCGAAAGATGTAGTGGAACCAGTTCAGCTACCCAGCAGCTTGAGGAGTTTGGATTACAACGGCTTGGTCTTGAGGGCGCACTGCTAGCTGGAAAAGTATCGAAAACATCTTGACACTGCTGACATTCATTCAGAATTTGGTTGGCACAGCAGCTGCAGCAGCTTTGTTGTTTAAGATGTTTTAAGTTCCCTGTCCGGCATTTGTTGGAGTGGTTGAGCAACCAGGGGCCCGTCGCATACGTCATGTGGCAAAGGACGGAGTGGGTGCATGTGCAAATAGCCAGGTGCCCTTCAATCCTTTCTGGGTGCCTTGCCTGCGGCGGCCAAAGATGACTTGACCTTGAAGCAGGCGCGAAATGGCATGATAGGTCTCAGGTGGATGCATGACTATATAAATTAATCAGACTAAGTCCATGTCAAAACCTCCAGCCATACATGTACACACGGTAACCAGGGATTCAGCGGTAGCCACGGGTATACACGGTAGCCACGGTACACCTCCGCGGAGCGTGGCTTCAGAGATTCGCGGTGAACGTTAGCCCTTTATGTTACTGCAGTAGCCAGTGAATACTTAGCACTTGACTCGATGCAACGGTAAGAATGCTGGGTCAGTTCAACAGAATGTTTCCACACAGGTGAGACGTGGATAGTCGATTAATAAAACAATTTGGCAGGTACGTGACTTTGGCGCCCCAAAGTCATATCACAACACAATGGAAAGGTCTTCGTTGGGCAATGCTTTCCAAAGTGTTCATCGCCCCCCTGCTTCTGTACAAATGGACTCAAGCGGAATAGAGTAGAGTAGGTTAGTGCCCCTTGGAAAGGGGTTTGAAACACACACATGCAACATCATGTCCTATTTTTCTACATTTTTGAGTTCCACTATTCTATTCATCAGAGTCCTCCAACATCCCATGTCATCTCGCCCATTCGGTTTCGAGGCCTTGCGTGCGATGGCGCGCGACTTCGAGATGGTCCCACCACCCATCCCAGAGTCCTTGCTCAAGGCCCTGCGTGGGGAGTTGATGTGATGAGGGGGCCGAGGGGAGGCAGGAAAGAACACTGAATGATGCTGAATAGTAGTTCAGCGTAGTTCAGTTTACCTCGAGCTTCTCTTAGCCAGAGGGACTTGGGAAGAGGAACGCTCGTAACTACATCTGGTTTCAAAGAAGGGGATGTTGGACTTATTCGTTTTGGGCTTGGACTCTTTTTGAATAGGAATGGCCAGCTGCTCATTTACTCTCCCTTACAGCAGGGCACATGAACCCTCAGCTAAACACATGCCCCATCACGATCAAGGAAATGACCACATCCGTGGCCATCACTAGCCCAGGTGTCCATCAAATTCTATTAGTTATGCACTTCCCCATGCTTCTCCAAGAAGCTTTCCAGTGTGATCTTCGTTTGATTGAATATATCTCCCCCTTTCCACGTCATCCTTGGCTCCAGCGCCACCTCCGCAAACTAATTCACGGCCGTCGCTTTGCCTGTTGCGCACCCGGTCGCGATGTTCTTCAGATGGTGCCCGGGTAGCAAGCTGTTTCCACTGGGTTGGCCTTGTAGCAGGAGAGGGGCCCTGAAAAGGTTGAAGTTGAAACTAGATTGATGCAAGTGCCTGCTAGTGGCCATTGATATAATGGATTGGTGCCTGCTGAACACACTGTTGCGCTTCAAATTTATGGCAACATCTTGAGACGACCTGGAGTTCAAACATTGTTCAACACAGGGTGCCCACCAAATTCCCAGCCAGTGTGGCTGGTCCTGGAATTTTGACCTCAGCATCACTACTGAGGCAGCAGTTTTTCTTCTCCTTTGCCATCCTAGGGCCCTACATGATGACCTACGCCTGGTCTTTGAGCTTCTGGGTGCGTCTATGCACCGGCTTTGTGGCACTCAGTCAGGCGGCCTCACAGATGATCTACTACAAGAATCCCTCCAATGCCGTGGTGCCGAACCCGGCCAACCCCTTTGGTGATAGCACCTTGGTGGATTAACGTCATGATTGCAAGGAATAGAACATTATATAGTATTTGACACTCACTTGGAACAAGTTTTTGCTAAAAAGGGTAGGAAAATCATTTGCAGGTAGAAGTGTACACTTAGAACATGCATGTTCTAAGTGAGGGAATGTTGTTTTGGGAAATATCTACAGTAAGTATATGTCCGTCGCTATGTATATATAATGTATATAATATCTGTTACTACAGTATGTGTGAGATTTTGCATGCATATGATAGCTGCATATGTCCACTTTTTTTCTACTATGACATCAACATAAGAAAAGAGATGACACAGGAGAAGCTAAGGGCACTTTAAAGTCTTTAAAGGGGCTCTCACCTTGTCTTTTTTTTTCCCATGTCTGCCGCGCCAGAACCTCATGGGACCGCGCCAGCTGTGGAGCGCTAAAGCTTCCACTGTCCTTTGAGTCCAGTCGGATGCACCCACCATAGACATGCCACCAAGCCTTGTTACTGTAAATAAACAATTGCAAGACCTCCTGTTGCTTGCCCTTTGATTGCTCTGATTATTCCGCTTCTGCGAACCTGAGCCAGTCTACTCACCCACAAACTCATAGATCTCAAGCACCTCCAACTTCTACAGCTGATACTTTCCAGTTGGATGGTAGGCAGCATGCTGCTCATGAACACCATCACCGTCACCATCTTCACCCTTCAAGATCATTTTGGCACCAACTGTTTGGCATCACCGTGGACTGCTGTCCCATCCTCCAAACCGAGATATAGCGCATCCAGCTGGAAGAGGACAATCATCCTAAACCCATCTCAAACCCATGAAAACCCATGGTTTGTGACGTTCGTTCCTGGTAGGGCCTGGAAAAGGGTATCCTGCACCTCCCCCTCACCATCCCCTCCTGCCCTCCCGAGGCTCTCAGGAGTTCATCGCGCTGTGCATCGCCTCGGGCGTTTGCGGCGCCCTCTTCGCAGCCTTCTCCGAGCCCATCGGCCTGCTGATCATCCAGCAGCTGGGTCGAGGGCTCCAGGGGCCCAAAGAGTGTTGAAAAGGAGAGAGAGAGAGAGAGCGGGTGGGAAGATGGACTCAAATAGCTCACAAGCAACAGATTGTGTTTCTCAGAGGGGGGCTTGAAATTGGAAAGGGTTTGGTTGACCACAGGCAACTTGCATTCCTTCCGTCGCCAGTGATATTGCTGACCACAAGTTAAAGAACTTGTTGCTGTAAGGGTTTTGGTGCATGATCGGGGACTGCCCCACACCTACTTTGTGAGGGAATGCACATTGAAGGGAAACTGGTTGAACCAGAGGTAGGTCCCCATTTTGAATCCGGAGTGTGGCTTACACGTTGAAGCCAATGATGCATGATGCATGTATAGAATCTGGGTACTGATGCAAGGATCTTTGGTATAGACTCTAGACGGTGCGAGGAGCATTTATGCCCCCCCAAATGAAGTCGGACTCCCAATCTGGTGACCTTGGCATGGTAACTGGCGTTCTATCACTTGCCCTCTTTGGCCGACCGGGCAAAAACACATCAGGGGGGTCGAGTCGACTGCATGCGCTGCTTGGCCTCCATCCGTCCTTTAGTAGCTTGCTCCTAGTAGTAAGGCCAGGAGCGCCCTGTCCGTAGCGTCCGATCGCTCCGTTCGTAGCGATGTCCTTTGTTACGTTCGTTTCTTTCTACATCCGTCCTTCAGATGTCAGGCTTTGGGGGCTCTTTTGCATCTACTCCATGGCCACCGTGGCCAGTGAGCACTTCAAGCCGCTGCCCAACTCAGCCACTTCACCGGAAAACGGGGACGGGTTGCTCACCCCGGGACACCCCAGTGGAGGGCAGCGCACCCTTCCACAGCGGGTCGTTTTGGCCCAAAACAGTTGGCGAAAGAGCTGATCGTATGTATGCTACAGCCACTCTAGCATCACTTCTAGCATCATTAGTCACACAGGTCAACTCGTGCATCATGAATGCTAGAAAAGTAGTGGAACTACTAATTCTTAACATGATTATTCTTACTTGGGTCCTGGCCCTGCTTTTGTCAAGGTGCATTTGTGCATTTGACCTTGAAATCCGGCCAAGCATTCGTGATGCAACACTCCGAGTGGGGTTGGTCATCGTTTGCCACCGGCAGATCACATGGTCAAACGATGCCTCTGGTGTTGTCAGGTTGAAAGGTGAGACAAAACATTGTAGATCCACATGCACCCAAAGTGGCTCCACACTTTTGGTTCTCGGAACCCTGTGAAACCTAAGCGCCATATTGCAGTAAGTTCAGAGTAGATGTGACAAACTCACAAGTGATGGAGCTGCAGAAGGAAGCCTCTCTATTCCCAGAGTCCAAGAGAATCAATGAACCTATGATATCCTATGATAATTTATTAACAGCTATGAACTATTTACCTATTGCCGTAGCTTGAGGTACAAACAAACAATCAGGGGTGATGCGGCAGCATGGACCAGGGTGACATAGGATGACCTTCTTCGATCCGAGTTTCTAGTCCGCGCCGAGTTCGGGAGTCAATGCTGTCCATCCGAGGCAGAGGAGGTGGTCATGGAGATGTTTCGCTTCGATGGCGTCGAGGGCCTGCTGGGCGACGGCCAGTCCTGGAATTCTTTGGCCGCTGGGCGGTCCTGGTTTTTCATGTTTTTCGTTCTGAAGCAACGTGGGAAGTCGAATTTCACAACGAGCAGCGAACGGTGACCCCACCCAGCTCACTCCAGCGAACTAGTCGCGTTCCAGCTGGGCAGACTGATATGCATCTCATTAAGCCCATCGCGCGGGCCCCATCTGTTCAACAGTCTTCAACTAACTAAGTAAATCAACTCCATCCATCCCACCTCTGCGCATCCCTCCGCCTAGATGATCGTCTGTTGTATCTTGGGCGCCTTGAGCATCCTCCTCTTCCTCTCGCGGCTACTCTGCCGCCCTCCACCCAAGCTGCAGCACTTCCTCGCGGGCCTCTTCGGCGCCCCAGTCGGGGCACTCGCCACCGTACAGGCGCAGAGAGAGAGAGAGAGAGAGACAGACGTGGACCGCGGGTGAGGTGGGTAGGGATTTGTGGAACCCATGTTTGCGGCAGCGCTGTGTGAGTGATCGAGACCAAGAGATGTAATCTGAGATGTGCATAC